TCTGTGGGATAGCTGCCCACAGTGCACCGCTTCCAATGTCGACGCTTTCCCCGTTAGTGTGGACTCACAAAGTCGAATTACTGTCCTTAGTGTGGACACACACATTCGACTTTGCAATATCGATTCCAAAAATTCGATTTAAGTAAAATCGAACTACTCTCGTAGTGTAGACATACCCTTAGTTACCACACAGACAAGCGGAGCCTGGTGCACACTCTCCCTCACATATATTTAAAGGGTATCTCTCCCTTTTTATAACTGACCCTTACCTGAAGCCAGTCTGGTTACAGTCTTTGGGTCTTCTCCCATTTTCTTCATTGTGAGGTCTCCATCAATTACTCTCCACCCCTCCATCACATGCAGCCAGTATCATCAGGTCTAGTCCAAAGCTCATTGAACTATAATGGAAGTCTTTCCATTTACTTCAGTATGCTTTGGATCAGGTCCCATGGACAATGGTTGAAAGGACAGGACATAAAGTCATCGTTAGAAATGCTGTCAGTTTTGTTCAATGAAACATCAAGTACTGTAGGACAAGCATGGTAGTGCAAGTCACATCTCTGTAGTTCAGTATTTTGAAACATACTGCGTCAGAGCTCCACTTACTTGGATGAGATCTTTCTCCTGGCAACATGTTCTAAATGTGGCTACTTCTAAGCAATCCAGCCAGTAAGACTTCCCTTTTTAACTCTAGATGTGCCTTATGACTTAGCTACAAGACATGTCTCTCTTGCATGAAATATTTTCTGAGTATATCTCATATAAAGATGTGGATACCTCTTCCCTGTTATGAGTGTCATCTGAACTGGTTCTCTGGAACTGTGAACAGTCCTATCATGAGAACTGAGAACAAGGTGGCACTTTCTTTCGAGAAGTAGCTGTCACACCAGTGGCTAATATAGCTTAAGTGTATTAAAACACATTTGAGTAGCACATAAGAGAAATAATGAATCTATTTTGTTTGAAAAGAAACATGATTTATTAAGAAATTAAATACTGAATTCCCCTACAGCCTCTGTGAGAATGGATTATTCCAACTTCAAGCATGTGGAGAATGCTTGAGAGATTGAGGAATGGAATGATCCTATTGACCGAAAGTGAAACAAAACAATTGATAATCTAATGTAAGGTTTCAAATATTGGCAATATATAAAACATTCACCTGTCTGGAATACAGTTTGGATAGGACATTCACTGGCATGTAAACTTTTCCATAAGGTAACAACAAACTGCTTTGAGATAGTAACAGATACAGATGAAATAACTGTGCTAATCTATGGCATCACAGAGAGTGCTTGTTTGAAAAAAGGGATTAACAAGTGGGTCTAATTTACAGTTTATCAATTGATCTGATATTTGACATATTTGCACTTTTTAGCAATTACGGTGAAATAGTGCATGAACAGAACAGAACTATTACTTTGCCTTTCAATATTATCCCTACTAGTAAACATAATTATCTTAAACTATGAATATAATGAAAAGTAATGAAAAATACCATACAACATGATTGATAATAAGTCTTTGATCATAACATGACTGTGTCTGAGTTAAGCTATAAACATAGAAATGCAATATCAACTGACTTTAAATATGATAAACAGTAAAACATGCTAATCATAAAAATAGCTTTTACAAATATACATTTGTATACAGTGTCTCTCACGCCTGCTAAATATGTCCTTCATATTATTATCATACAGTACCTTGGCCTTTAAGACATCAAAATTAAAAACAAATAATACCAATAATTAGCCAGAGAAAAACACATTTACAATCTAAACCATAAAAATCTGACAGTTGTACAGCTTAGAACATATAAGAAATGAAATTTCTAAGGTTTGAACAATAATGTCCATTTTAATAAGTAAAGTGAGTTTTCATACAAATTGAATCAAAGGTGTTGCTAGCCAGTAAGAAACCGCAGTTCACATTTCTGTGGGGGAGTGGAAAGGGGAAGTCACAGTTTCTCTTCTCAGCCTCCAAGGGGCTCACACATGACACCTCATCACTTGATCTGTAGAAACTGAAAAATGAAACGTTTGCTTTAATATGAAAACATGGGCTTTGTTTCAGCAGCACATGGAAAAGGCGTCAGGATAAACTGTAGGGGAAAGGGACCAGGACAGCGTTATTTGCATTTCATGGTCAAATCAACCATCTGACATTGACACTTAATTGATTAAGTTTTTAGGCTAAAAGGAATGTCATGTAACTGCTACAATGGAAAGCCTGTACCATAAATACCCCTACATTAGAATGCACCACCCAGAATTAACTACACTGATTCAAGTCGCAACCCAACTCCTTGGTGAAGTATCAGGACTTTATATTTGTAATAACAGGGAAAGGAAGCATTTATCCCAGCTACTTCGTGAGATAATGTAGAATGCATTGATCTGCATACTTACATTTATTCTAAATACACTGCATATGGCTCTCTATGTTTTGGGTTTCATTCTCCAACTTTTTCCCATGCCATTTATGTTGATCATGTGCTTTAACACTGTGTGTGTGTGGTGGGGGGGGGGGGGGAGCGGGGGAAGGAGGGGCGGGAGTTCTTATTATCGGGTTCATGAATCTTTTCCCAGTTGCTTTCTAATGGTTTTAATATTATTATTGTGTGCATGCATTAGACCTATCCTCTTTATTAAGGATTAGATCTTATTTGTTTTAATTAAATACCATCACTTTTTGGCTCCTATTGTGGCTTTTTCAGCATCACTGTTTTAGAGTGGGAATGTAGTGGAACTTCCTAAGGGCATTATGCCTGCAGATACCTGCCTCTGCAGACACTAGGGTCCTGGTATAAATACCCACTGAAGGTTATGGGAAGCTTTTCATTGACTTCAAATGGTCATTGGATCAGGCCCTATGGGAGCACTGAGCCATTAAACAGCTGCAACACCCATTAAAAGAGCACAGCAAGCGCTCCCATCTACAAGGGATAGAAGTCCCCTCAACTGTGCAGAAAATTTTGATAAAAACCAAGAATATTTCATTTTTATTGAAATTTTCAGCAGAAATTTTTGAATATTCATTGAAAAACCAAAAATCTGAAAACCATTTTAAAAAGTTTTTGTCAAATAAAACTGAAACATTTTGACCAAAACCTGAAAAATTTCAGACAAAAACTGAATATTTTTCAGCCAACTCAGGTTTACAGCAGAAAAGTTTCAGGGTTTTGGGTTTTCTATTGAAAAATCAAAAATTTTAAAGAAAAGAAGGTGCTTCCTGCAAACATTTTATGTTGTATTGAAAAAACACAATTTTCTGTTGAAAAGATCAGACGGAATTTTTTTGACCAGTCCCATTCCCAACAGCACTGGCCCAAGTCTTCTTAGAGCTGTGGAGCACTCCGGAGACATTATACATTTTCATACACCCCTTACTGTCAGGGAGCACCAGCATTCTGGCTGTACCCAGCACAGGTAGACAGGGCTATGGTGGAGGGTCCCCATGCCCTCCCATCCTTGTACAAGAGCACCTACCATCTGCTGCTCCGTTTTAGGTTAAAATTATATTTAAAAATATTATTCTCCACACGCATAGAGAAGTTTTTCATATCTCCCTATTTTTAGCACTGTATCCCTGGACAGACTTAACTACATGAAAAGGATTTTCAATCCTCCCCTTAAGTCAGAGAGAGGCCTAATGGTTGTTAAGTAGGTATTCATCTTGTGAGAGGAAAAAAGCCTGCGGTTCCACTGTGCACCCCATTAGCTCTAGAGACAGTTCTCTTTTTCTAGCCTTTTCTTCACCTTTGCGTCGCTGCTACATTGTATATGCAAAAGACAATAATTATCCAAGGAAGAAGAGAGACAGATTTTCAATTATTTATTGAAGCTTTTTCCTTGCCATAAACCTTCCAGGCATTTACCTGTCGCTAGTAATAAAAAGCTTCATTAGGTTACTATTATGAAGCAGTGCTGCTAACCATCTGGATCCAAATTGTGAATGTTGCTTTGCTGTCAGTTAGAAACAATGGTAAAAATTCACCAGTCCCACAAGCAAAAAATCTTGTGTTTTCTTTCAGTACATGGACTTGTTATTTGTCTCTTGTTTTAAAAGGCTGGGAAGAAAGGTTAAAATGTTAGATATTCAAGCTTCTATTTTCTCCAGAATGACAGTCACCCAGGGCTATGATTAATCTAGTGTAATATAATACTAATTTTATTCTACTTCTTTCTGCTGAATAGTGTGTAATTTATCTACTGGCTTTATGGTAGCTCTGATGATATTAAAAACACTCATGATGATTAATGTTTTTTTTTAAATCTGTTCATTTCCTTCCAGTTACGTATAAAAAAACCCACCCTGACACAATAGAGAGGAAAATGAATTACATTCAAGCAAGCACTATGGCTTTCATTTGGTGTGGTTATAAGGGAACATATCAACCCAAAAAGCAAGGTTCAAACATATTGCATTAAAAATTGGATAACCCAACTGAACATATAGCAGCTGCAGTCATAAATAATATCAGACAAACAGTAAATACTGTCCTAGTTGTGATAACATCCCTTGGGAAAATGAAAAGTTGTTATGGACTATTTATTCATTCATTTGCCACCTGAAATAATTTGCTATTCTTTTTCTATATTGTTGACTTTTTGAGCATTGGATACTGGAGGGACTCTGGTCAGTCATGTACTGTATCTTAGTTTTCCAGAACTACTGTTGCTCCTACAGTTCCAATATGAGCCCTTTGGCTTTTGTACATGACCTATCCCAAACCATATCCAATTAATTTAAACTTTACATTGCTATAATATCATGTACAGATTTGCAAGACCTAAATTAAATGTTAAAGCCAAAATGCATGTCAGAGCTGATTTGCATGGCAGGATATACTGGCTCCAAAGTTTCCCAAACTATACTCAGCTAAAAACTATGGAATCAATCATAGGGAGTTGAGACTCCACAAGCTTCACTCTGATTCTTCCGGGGATAGCATTTAGTGAGTTAGCCCCTGACCTTCCAGTAAAGATATAGATTCCACTCCTTAAATCCATGGATCTCTGTGAATCTGTCAGAAGCTAGACACATTTGTGTGGAACTTTACCTTCACACTGTCACTTGTCCTCCTTCTGCTCCTGGTTCTCTGCTACCCTTGAACATTAAGAGCTATGCTGCAAAACTGTCTTCCAAGGAGCTTTTTTGGAAGCAGGCAGCATTAAAATATGATTTATAGCAGCATTGATTGCAAAGCCTGTCTAAGAGCTGCACTGAATCAGTGAATCTGTTGGGTGTAGTGGCCACCCCCCATCCCCAGCACCGTTTGGGGCTGTACTGGTCATCTCTTTTTTCTGTAGCAGAGCAGGTGTTTGCGGTCATTTTGCACTGCTTTATCTCCTGCTCCCCCAGCTCCTTTTTGGTTTGACTTTCTGCTGATAGAGGTCTGGAGTCTTGGTTTCTGCTGGCAGAACTGTGAACAAATCCTGCACTCTTTCTGCACTAACTTACTATGTTGTATCCCACAGGCTTAGGGGGTGGGAGAATACAGTGGGGGGAGACCAGTCAGCACGACCTCCCCAGTTCCCTCCAAAAGTGTGGAGTTCCTCTCTGGTGCGGGTCCCACAGGCCCGAGGGAAAGGCATGGTGCAGAAGCTGCACTCCCTCTTCTGTGCCCATCCTTCAAGCCTCGACCTGTAAGTGCAAGCTTCTCTGTGAATTCATAATCGCTGAGCATATGCCTTTCTTTAGAGAGTGTTAAAAGTGTGACATGAGAAAAAGACTGCAAAGATGTTCACAATTAAGCTAATATGGGACATGTCTTCCACCATCTAGTCAGGCACAATGGGCGCATTCAGAAAGTGAATAGAGGGTAGGATTGCCAGGTGTCCAGTTTCCAGTCGAAAAGGGCACCTGACAGTGTCGGGTCAGAAACACTGACTGGATGCCCAAAGTCTGGTTACCACCTGTAGGGGTGCTGGAACAATGGGGGCCAAGCAGGTGTCGCCCACCGCAGTGCAGCACTTGGCTGCTGAGGGAGCCAGGGGGCAGAATGCTGTGATCATCTCCCAGCCTGGTTTTGCAGGCAGCAGGTGAGTCCTGGGGGACGGGAGGAGAGGAGAAGGGGCAGGCCAGCTCAGTTCAGCTCCCTGCCTCTCTCTCACGTTCCTGGGCCCCCTCTCTTCAGCCCACAGATCCACCTGTCCAATCCCTGGGGCTCGCTCCGGTCTTCCCAGGAGCAGGTCCCAGGATGTGAAGCCACCGTCCTCGCTGAGCAGCTGTGACTCGCCTGGTTGCTGCGGGGAATGTAGGGAGTCTCTGGGAGCCCTGCGGGGCTGCAGGGCTCTGGGCAGCTCAGGAAGGCAGCTAAGACCTGGTGGAGTGGTGGACAGTGCTGCTCACGTTGTGGGGCAGGCATGCAATAGAACAAACATCTCAAACATATCTCATTCTAGTAATAATCTTCAATCTATAATTTTCTTCAAAGTTATAGTGAATTTGAAATTAGGCAAAAATTAGTTATTTTTAGTAAAAGTCATGGACGGGTCACAGGCAGTAAACAAAAATTCACGGCCCGTGACCTGTCCATGACTTTTACTATATACTCCTGACTAAAACTTGGAGGGGGGGAGGGGCGCGCAGGTGCTGGGGGTGTGTGTATCCCGGGTGTTAGGAAGGAGAGGCGGGCGGCGGCGCATGGCCCGGGACCCCCACTGGTGCTGGGGGTGGGGGGCTGGCAAGGCCGGCACGCTCCCTACCTGGCTCCGTGCCTCCCCCCTCCAAAGCAGCAGCAGAGTTTGGGTGTGGGAGGGAGCAGGGGCACAGGAGGGGGTGAGGCAGGTTCTGGGTGGCACTTACCTGGGAACCGCGGCCAATGGGAGCTGTGGGGGCAGTGCCTACAGGCACACCGGCTGCTGCAGAAGTCACGGAGGTCACGGAAATTCACAGCATCCATGACTTCCATGACCTCTGAGACAAACTCACAGCCTTATGATTTATATAGAGTCACAGAATCTTGCTTTGCTGGATGCATCAAAAGGCACCTCATGATTATAATGATTACCAACGGGC